TTTTCATTAAAGTGAATTAGAATATATTCAAAGTTTAGACAGTTTTGAGTTAACCTATGTGTGTGGTGGGATGTGATGGCCGCATCAGCAGCATTCTCCCATCCCCCCCAGTCATTAAACACAGGAAGTTAAATTAAGAAGAACGCAGAGAGCATCTGTTTTTGTAGCCTCAGGCTTACTTACACAGGGGCTATTTGTGTGTCTTGGAACAATAGGAGGTATTGTCTTGACCTAAGGATGTTGGGACATGTGTTTCAGATTATCAGGGTATAAGGACAGAGCTTTTGGTTCATTTCTTGGTCACTCTTCTGCTGTTTTCCATCCAGCAGAGACCCGGACTAGATTGTAGTCTGTAAAACTTGTCTGTTTGTGCTGATGTCCAGATAACCAGTAGTTTTGAACCAGCGGCTGACAACATGTATTAAAGAGATTATGTTGTTGAAATGTGACTAGTTTATTCACAATTAGCTTCCACTTGAAAACAGTGACGTCGCCCGGCATGGCGCAGCCGGGGCCCCACCCTGGAGCCAGGCCTGGGGTCGGGGCCCGTATGCGAGCGCCTGGTGGCCGGGCCTTAGCCCACGGGGCCCGGCCGGGCTCAGCCCGAAGGGATGACGTGGGCAGTCCCTCCTGTGGGCCCACCACCTGCAGAGGGGTCCGTGGTGAAGCGGTGCTGAGAGGACTGGGCTAGTCGAAGGCGGAGACCTCGGCGACCCAGTCCGCACACACAACATCTGGCTCTTGGGACGTGGAACGTCACCTCACTGGGGGGGAAGGAGCCCGAGCTTGTGGGGGAGGTTGAGCGATACCGACTAGAGATAGTCGGCCTCACCTCCACACACAGCTTGGGCTCTGGAACCCAACTCCTTGAGAGGGGTTGGACGCTCCACTTTTCTGGAGTTTCCCGCGGGGAGAGGCGGCGAGCTGGGGTGGCCATTCTCATTGCCCCCCATCTCAGCCGCCACGTGTTGGAGTTCTCCCCGGTGAATGAGAGGGTCGCGTCCCTCCGCCTCCGGGTGGGGGACAAGTCTCTCATTGTTGTGACGGCCTACGGGCCTAACAGCAGTGTAGAGTACCCGGCCTTCTTGGAGTCCTTGGGAGGGGTACTGGACGGTGCACCACCCGGGGACTCCGTTATTCTCCTGGGGGACTTCAACGCTCATGTGGGAAACGCTAGTGACACTTGGAGAGGGGTGATCGGGAAGAGCGGCCCCCCTGATCTGAACCCGAGCGGTGCTCAGTTGTTGGACTTCTGTGCCAGTCACGGTTTGTCCATCACGAACACCATGTTCGAGCACAAGGGTGTCCACCAGTGCACGTGGCACCAGGACACCCTAGGCCGGAGGTCGATGATCGACTTTGTTGTCGTATCATCTGACCTTCGACCGCGTGTCTCGGACACTCGGGTAAAGAGAGGGGCGGAGCTGTCAACCGATCATCACCTGGTCGTGAGTTGGATCCGCTGGCAGGGGAAGAAGCCGGTCAGACCTGGCAGACCCAAGCGTATAGTGAGGGTCTGCTGGGAACGTCTCGCTGAGACCCCTGTCAGACGGACTTTCAACTCACACCTCCGGGAGAGTTTCTCCCAGGTCCCGGCGGAGGAGGGGGACATGGAGTCCGAGTGGACCATGTTCTCTGCCTCAATCGCCGATGCGGCGGCTCGTAGCTGTGGTCGCAAGGTCTCTGGTGCTGGTCCTGGCGGCAACCCCCGAACCCGGTGGTGGACACCGGCAGTAAGGGATGCTGTCAGGCTGAAGAAGGAGTCCTATCGAGCCATGATGGTTCGGGGGACTCCTGAGGCAGCTGTCCAGTACCGGCAGGCCAAGCGTGCCGCGGCCCGGGCTGTTGCAGAGGCAAAAACCCGGGACTGGGAGGAGTTCGGAGAGTCCATGGAGCATGACTATCGGTCGGCCTCGAAGAGATTCTGGCAAACCATCCGGCGCCTCAGGAGGGGGAAGCAGTTCTTTGCCAGCACCATGTACGGTGCGGGTGGAGAGCTGCTGACATCGACTGGGGATATTGTCGGGCGGTGGAAGGAATACTTTGAGGTTCTCCTCAATCCCCCCGTCACGTCCTCTGTTACAGAGGCAGAGGCTGAGGATGTTGGGGCGGGTACATCCATCTCCCTGGCTGAGGTCACCAAGGTGGTTGGTAGCCTCCATGGTGGCAAGGCTCCGGGTGTGGATGAGATCCGCCCTGATTATCTAAAGTCTCTGGATGTTGTAGGACTGTCTTGGCTGACACGTCTCTGCAACATCGCGTGGCGATCGGGGGCAGTGCCAATGGAGTGGCAGACCGGGGTGGTGGTCCCTCTCTACAAGAAGGGGGACCGGAGGGTATGTTCCAATTATCGTGGGATCACACTCCTCAGCCTCCCCGGTAAGGTCTACTCCAAGGTACTGGAGAGGAGGCTACGGCCGATGGTCGAATCTCGGATCCAGGAGGAGCAGTGTGGTTTTCGTCCCGGTCGCGGAACACTGGACCAGCTCTATACTCTCCATCGGATACTCGAGGGTTCATGGGAGTTCGCCCAACCTGTCCACATGTGCTTTGTGGATTTGGAGAAGGCGTTCGACTGTGTTCCCCGGGGTGTCCTTTGGGGGGTTCTCCGGGAGTACGGGGTCGGGGGTCCTCTGCTGAGGGCCATCCGATCCCTGTATGACCAGAGCCAGAGCTGTGTTCGCATTGCCGGCAGTAAGTCAGACCTGTTCCCGGTGAATGTTGGCCTCCGACAGGGCTGCCCTTTGTCACCGGTTCTGTTCACTGTATTTATGGACAGAATATCTAGGCGCAGCCAGGGGTCGGAGGGGGTCCGGTTCGGAGACCACAGGATTTCATCTCTGCTGTTTGCGGACGATGTTGTCCTGTTGGCTCCAACGAACCAGGACCTGCAGCATGCACTGGGACGGTTTGCAGCCGAGTGTGAAGCGGCTGGGATGAGAATCAGCACCTCCAAATCCGAGGCCATGGTGCTCGACCGGAAAAAGGTGCCTTGCCCTCTGCAGGTGGGTGGAGAGGTCCTTCCTCAAGTGGAGGGGTTCAAGTATCTCGGGGTCTTGTTCACGAGTGAGGGAAGAATGGAGCGTGAGATTGACAGGCGGATCGGTGCAGCGTGCGCAGTTATGCGGTCGCTGTATCGGACCGTTGTGGTGAAGAGGGAGCTGAGCCGAAAGGCAAAGCTCTCGATTTACCGGTCAATCTTCGTTCCCTCCCTCACCTATGGTCATGAGCTTTGGGTAATGACCGAAAGAACGAGATCGCGGATACAAGCGGTCGAAATGAGCTTCCTCCGCAGAGTGGCTGGGCGCTCCCTTAGAGATAGGGTGAGGAGCTCAGTCACACGGGAGGAGCTCGGAGTAGAACCGCTGCTTCTCCACGTCGAGAGGAACCAGTTGAGGTGGCTCGGGCATCTGTTCCGGATGCCTCCTGGACGCCTCCCTGGGGAGGTGTTCCGGGCACGTCCCACCGGGAGGAGGCCCCGCGGAAGACCCAGGACACGCTGGAGGGACTATATCTCTCAGCTGGCCTGGGAACGCCTTGGGGTCCCCCCGGACGAGCTGGAGGAAGTGTGTGTGGATAGGGAAGTCTGGGCGTCTCTGCTTAGACTGCTGCCCCCGCGACCCGGCAACGGATAAAGCGGAAGAAAATGGATGGATGGATGGAGCTTCTACATTAGCATAAACGGAGCATACATGATTACACCACCAACGTGCGTGTTATTTTCCTGTTTTTGTGCTTCTTTTGAAAGATAAGTTAGTCGTACCTTGTTAACATGTTTTGGCTGCAGAGCTGTGAGCTATCTTCAGAACTGTGATTTCAATTAAAACATGCATCAGGAAAATCTGACTGTGTCTATCTCATTAAAACCTCATCATTCTGGGAGAAAGTCATTTGAGGTCCATTTGTTTGAGTTTGTTATGAAAAAGCAGTGCTTCTCATCCTGCGGTCCATGGGTTCTGGGATCTTTCCTAATATGTTTACAATCGTGGATGGTATAATTTTATATTGAGTTTATTTGTCCTCAGATAATGTCCTATGCTGTTTTGTACATGAAAACCATATTTTACTTATTTTTCTCTCTTTGCAGCCCAGTGTTTTCTGTTTTCAGTATGCTATTGATGGAAGATACCAAAATCCTAGATCATTCAGTTGTGCCTTTAGTTCATGACGTCTGGGGCCTCCACAACTCTATATCAGCGTATTTTGGAAAAGAGAGATTGTTATGAGCCTTGCCAGTGTGTTTTCCTGCCCCCAGCTCTTCAGCTCGGCAGCCTCTGCACCACCCACTGGCTGATGGCCCCCACCTGCTGGATGCCATTCTGCACGGGTATAAAAGCCCCGACGCTGCAGCTATTTTGTTGAATACATATTTCTTTTTGGTTATTATTAGTAATTCTGAGTATAATAAATACATACTTTTACTTTTCCACGACCTCGCGCCTTAATCAGTCCACACCCGGTCTATGAACAAAAAATGTATCGTGCTACCACCCTGGACTCTCTGGCACCTAACAGATTAAAAGAAAAAAAGAATAAATAAAAATAAAACGCTTTCTCAACTTATCAGCCCCAAAGATATTCTAAAATGGCACAATTTGCTTTTACACAGCTCTTTCTGTGGAAATAAACACAATATATTATTTATGAAGTGTAGTCAAATATTTGTTTTAATCCAGGCCTGAATAATAACGAGCACATGTGCATATTAGAAGCTTCATATTGTCTTTATCAAATGCTAGTCTATATAAGGAATTCAAGTCAATATGCAATGTTCGTATATGCAGTTTATTTTTCTACAGAGGGTCATAATCTTAACATGACTATAATCCACAGGCACAAAAGCCAAGAAGTTGCACACAGGTCTTGAATAAGCTGAGCTGTGGTGAGAGCGGTCCCAGTTCAATCCTTTCCTGAATGGCTAATTGTCCCTCACTGTGGCTTAAGTCGATAGCTCACTGCTGCATTCACTCAGAGCGACCACAGACTTGGAATTACACACCATGGCTCCCAAAAACAACAGTAAGATCAATTTTCTATCTTTTTCTACATAATTTTCTTTGGCTATTTTTATATGTAGTGGTAATTAGGAACAATAGAGGTAATGATGCAGGGAGGGCTGAGACTCAATGACACAATCATTTTATGTTTTTTAGCAGATTATTTCTTCTATGTAGGCTAAATAACTACTATTTTGTCATTAGAACCCTTTATAACTGTACTCTATTATGATATTGACTAAAGCAGCAAGTTTTTAGCACGTCATGAAGGAAATGGAAGGGGATTTTCAGACTGATTTTCTCAATGAATGTGCCTTTTGATAGTATAAGAACTCAATACATTAAATATAATAACTCCTTTAATATATGTCCAGTGCACCTTTCACATTCATATAATTGTATTTATTTTAGGAGTATGTTCGTGAGTCTTGCATGATTGTGTTTAAGCCCATTGTGAAATCCTGCAGGAATTTGTTGCAAAACGCAGATTAGCCGCAGGCCTCATTTAGACCTGGCATTTAAGTCTCAACAATGTGTGAATTTGTTCTGAATTATAATGACTTAGGCCTATTTAAAACTGCAATAGCCAAGCACTTTCTCATAGTGTTAGAGTGTGAAAGAAGTATTTATCCAAAATTACATTGCGTTTTTCTTGTATCTTGACAATCTAGCTCACACTTCTACCAAAACAATATTCTAAAGTTGTGTCTTTACCAAAGTTAGCACGAGTGAGTGTCAGGTATAATCTACCTTTACCTTTTTAGACATCAATTCCTCTATTTTAACCGCAAACAGAGCCAATAAATAGTTGGCTGATTGTTTCGTTGTCTGTCAAGGTTGATGCTATTTATACAACTATATTACGGGTCTATCTAGAGTGCTCCATCTATGTATTTCATGTAGACTTTCTTATTTATAATACCTTTGTTTTATATAGCTCTTTTATGAAGACGTTTCTCATAGCATCATTCTTTCACTCTATAGGCAGTGGTGATTAACTATGACTGTAGCCACAGCTGCCCTGGAAGCGAGGCAACCACTTTGGCCCCTCTGACCACTACCAACCATCCATACATACACCAGATTCGCAGTAAGCAATGTGGGAGAAATGCCAACAACAGTTTGGCATTTTACAGCCACCCCGCTGTGCCACCTGGTCTCACATCACAGAACTAACCAAGCCATATTCTGCTTAGCTTCAGAGGTATGACGAGATCTGGGTTTCACATGCAGATTGTGCCATAATGTACTGTATATTTGGAGTCCTGGAACATTCTAGGCCATTCCTCAGCTCCAACCAGCACTGTGGTGCACATGCTTGAGTGTGACACAAACAGTTATTGAGCTCGACAAGTTTACCGTTGTCCATGAGCACTTCCTGACTGGGCTTCACTGTGACCTACTTGTGGTGATGTCATTTCAAACTCATCTATATATATATTTTTACGTCTTTTTCACAGTTCCATTCTCAATCCGAAAGTTTGCTCCCTCCGACCAGCGGGCGGCGACGTCTCTTTTCCGCGACGGGATAATGGAGAACGTATACCCCGCCTTCTTCAAAGCCCTGGGCCACCCCGACCACATCGGCATCGCTTTGAGCATCTCTATGGCTGGATATGTTTTAGGTGGGAGCTCTTACTTCCAAGCCCTGCTCTTCGTAAGTGCATGGGCCGCTCTCCTCTACTACTGCTGCCACGAGATCTACGAGGGCTTCCTGGCACAGAGAATGGGTGCGGACATGGCCGACATTAACGCTAGCTACCTCGTCAATCCCGATAGCGCATTCTGGGTGGCGGAAACGGAAGTCAAGGGGCAGCAGAAGTTGGCCGGCGTGGTGGCTTTGATTGGGAAACGATCCGAAAACGATGGGGAAAGATTTGACGATTGGAACGGTGGAGTCATCGGTGAGGAAAGCGAATTCGGGAGTCACGCAGAACTGATGCACCTGGTTGTATCGTTCCCCTGGCGACGCAAAGGTTTTGGGTCGGAGATGATGCAAACGGTGATGGATTTTTGTAAAGAGCGCGGATACGGTCGCTTGGTCCTCGACGTGAGCTCGTCCCAAACGGCGGCGATTGCCATGTGTCAGAAGTTTGGGTTCGTTCAGACAGGGTCCCACAATAACACACACCCCAACCGCTGGTTCTCCAGACTGGCCCGGGTCAGCATGCTGCGGATGGAGAAGGTGCTTTAATGCGGGCGAAGGATTGTGTATGTAAAGGCAGCGGTTCTCAAACTAATGTGCTTGTACCACCTCTGGAGACTTGAGTTGTGTAGAACTGCTATACGTCCTGGTTTCGGTTCTGGTAAATCTTCAGCATGGTCGAATCTTGTTTTACTCCAAGTGTGTGAATGGACTACATCAAGAAGTTATCTACGACCAGGACTTAACCAGGACGAAACCTAGACACTTCTGAATGCACCTATTGAAATACTTTAGACCAGTTATCTGTTTAAAAGTCCCACCTAAATCACGATTAATGTAACTACTGTTGAGCTCCAAATGTAGAACGTATTGTAGATTTGTCATGGTTTAGGTTTATTTCCTGTTTTATTTCATGGAACTGTTGACCCCTGTGTGTCTTTTAACCTTGAGTTGTCCTTCACTCCATGTTCCATCGTTGTCATTTCTACGTCCCTTGTTTGCTTACTCTTTCTGTTTTTACTCTGGATTTAGAGCTTGTTTTAATTCACTTATTGCTGCAGTCCTGTGTTCTGGCAAAATGAAATTAACCCAAAACTCAAAACAGTAAGTGAGAAAAATAGAAAAAGGAACCTAACAGGGGACTAAGACAAGAACTAAAAGAGACCACACAGGTAATCACAAAACAGGACACACAGGACTACAATGGACTACACAGGACACACAACAGGGGTAAACAATCACACACACAAAAACAGGAAATAAACCTAAACCATGACAGGCTCAGTATTGTATGATTACTATTATTAATAGGTTATGGTACTTTTCAGGTCCAACATGTTTGAGAATCACTGTAGCTGGTAGTTAGATCTATATGTAAGTTATACACTATTCCCACAACTTCTCTGGTCCTGCAAGTTTCCGATTTTCCATTATATATAAATAAAAACTAAACATTTTCCAATAAGTTGCATTTTTCTTACTTTGATTTTGTTTATGAGAACAATAAGGCAATTACAATTCAAACCATTTGTGATCTTTCCCTGACCTCATTTTTATCCCAACCACTATATTCACTATTTACAAGGTCCTGGTTGAAAGAAAGGCTTTGATTAATTTTGTAGATTGTTGTATTTTAAGAAAAGATGTAAAAATATTTAGGCTTCTCTCCAGTCTGAAGTTGAGTCCTCAAAGGGATTATTAGCAGCTGACTTCTAAGACCCCACAACTCTTTGCTTAAAATACCAAAGGAACAGGCAGAACTATACGCACGGAGGCAGGTTTAAAATTCTTTTGAGTTCATGTAGCCCAAGTTTGAAAAGAGAAGTAAGAACAGAAGGATTCAGGTCAGACACCGAGATGGCGGATTGTAGACACCACACAATGCAGATTAGGGGTTAACATGTGGTCTCATGATGCGGCTGTGAGGAGGGGGTTGATACGGGTGAGAGGGCAACACGGAAGGCCAGAAATGAGTATGAAATAATATAAATATTTTTAAGCTTGGATATAATTAAATCACAATAATATTTGATTTTTGATCCTAGAAGCAGGGATGGGCTCTGGACGGGAGACAGAATGCCTTATTTGAGGAGAATTGATAGCATCACCCACCGTGTTTGTTCTCAGATAGGATAAGATAAGATAGGCTTTATTGATCTCACAATGGTGAAATTTACCTTCACATTTGGCACAACTTGTATCACTCAGGTTGTGCAATCGACAAAGAAATGTGCACACATGTTAAAAAGTGAAAGATATAGTCTCTTTTGTGCAAGATATATTATGTACAATAAAATCAAAAGCAACTATAGAGCGAGTTTTTCAGTCCTAGTGCAGGTCGTTAACGTGACTTATTGTACAGTCTGACAGCGGCGGGGATGAAGATTCTACACTGCAGACTTGTCTCACAGCATTCATGAAAAATGGCTGGGAAAGAAGTCGTCTCGGTTCTTATAAATTAATTGCAAGTGTGTGGTCTTCGCTGAATAGACGAGTGGAGGATTGAGCTCAAGTGCATAATGTAATGTTCATTCTACACCAACCTTGGACTGGGTCAGTGGCAATTTAACGACTCCCATTCAGAAGTTATGAAAGGAGATTGAGATATGGGTTTGTACTGTAGTGTTCTCTGATCCTACCCTAACACACACTACAGGCTATACACTTCTGAGCAGATGTCCTCACCACTGAACGACTACTTTAGAAAGCGTTGCAGCCATGTGTCATGATGAGCTGAGTTGACCAACTTCTGTTGTCTGAACATGGGACATTTCCAGTTTCAATAACTTGAAGGCAAAGTCTGCCACACTGCAGGAAAGTGTGAGACATGCAATAAGCTGAAATGTTAACACCACCGCAATATCAGCAGGATGACGCAAACTGAAAGAAACTGATTTACGTATACATTTTACATTCACCTGTTTTCTGAAACCATCATTTGGATCAACATTCTCTATTGACAGAAGGACGATGATGTCTGGAATATTAACGTCTTATGCTCAGGGCTGGTTTAAGTGGAACATTTGGACGAGGACAAACAGAGTTTTGTCGTTATAGCTCATTTCCCCCTGGATCATTGAGGCTGGTCCTGCTCCAGCCGCCAGTGCACTGTCTGACAGCCACAACAGTGATTGATGTCGGCAAGGCCTTGTGTGCACCTGCTTGGCAATGCCAAGCAGATTTTATAATCCAAAATAAGAATTATACAATACATGAAGCTGTCTTCTAGTCTGAAATAACAGAGCTCTTGCATTAGTTCAAATTCAAGGTGAAAGGAGCGTGTCTTGATGTTTATTGAGCTTTAATTTCCCCACTGTGGGACGATTTCCAGTTTCCTTCATTCATTCACTCATTCAAATGTATGTCATAATGTACTTTGACTAAAGCTGTTTGATGATTTGAAATTATTTAAGGAATAAATATGTAAACACAATTTTAAATTATCTTAGTACATTGGTAACTTAATTAATGTTTAATTCTGAGTCAGGACTTAAAACTAATAATAATAATATTCACAGCTCTTAAAGACTGATGTGTATCCATGTATTGATGTAAACTTTTTTTCTTTTACCATTGATATATGGATAAAGGTGGTATTAATTGCTACACTACTGGTGATAATGAGCATTCTTGCTTTAACTTGGTACAATGCATTTCACCTCTTGAGATAAAGCGAAATACTGCCACTTTTTGGTTTGCTTGCATTAGAAGTTTAAATGAATGCAGTACAAACCCAACATTAAAATGACTGAAGAGAAACAAAAAAGTATGTAAATGCAACTACGACGAAGAGAGAGAGATGCATGTGCTGATCTCTTGAATAAAATATTCTCACATAATACTATGTTATCACATAAATGTCACAACTCAGCTTTACTTCCTCTGTTTTTTTTGCTATGGCTTGAAACTTCATGTGAACATTAGCATCCATATTGAAGACGTCTCAGTTTATGGAGATAAATGACATGAGGAAACTAAATCTGTGTTGCTGATTTGTGAGGGTCATACATCTTCATAGTGCCATAACTTTCATGCATATTCTTCCCTTATTTCTACTGTTTCACTGTGTTCTCTATAGTGCTGCTTCAGACCTGGTTAATTATGTTTATTTACATTTTACTGCTGAAAGTTATATATTTTTCAAGCATGTTTACTAGTAAGTATGTAGCATCGGTTGCAAAATATACAGAACTTGTTGGACTATTGAGTGCACCTGTATGCAACCCGCACCAGCTAAACTATAGGAAAGTAATACTGTTCACATTTTGTACACATGAATATAAGATGCTGGTTTCCCCGCTGTAATATGACTTTTAAACAACAGCTGACAGAGCAAAACAAAGCTGATAGAGACACTTTAACTGGTCACGACATGATTTAGGTGGTGTTTACCAGAAGACGCTGCGACGGTAAAACAGTATACAGTAGTTGGGTATCGGATTTGCCTTTTGTTTACATGAAGACGGTGTTCCAGGGGGGTGAAAATGCAAGCTTTGAGAAACAGCCTCCAGAGTGGAACAGAACAGATATGCTGCGCTTGTTCTGACCTCACCACTTCCCCGCACGTATATTTGGACATGCGCAGTAGCTGAGAACAAACATGGCGGCGGGTGCACTAAGTAGCTACGCGTGCTTCGAGCGCTACACCGAGGAGAATTCTACTTCTTTTTTTTTTAACCAAATAATAACTGTTACGGCAATCATTTCTAAAAAGGCGACAGAATAGTAGAGACAGTAAAAACACGGTGAGATAGTTGATGAATTACACTAAATCAACTTTTGATTTTATGTTTGTGTAAGGATTTAGCAGACAGAGACGGATCGTGGTGTGCCAAACTCTGGAAGTTTATTTAAGTTTCTCTCAAGTTCCACTGTTTTACTCTGTTTCTTTCTCTCAGACAGAATAAAGGCAGTACACAGTTTATATAGTCATTGTCACGTCACACATGGAAAGACATACGTGTCACAAAGAGACAGTCACATCATAGTCATAACATGGAGTCCTTGTAGAGTCCTTGTACAGTCCTGCACGTAGGCCATATTGCTATCTAATACTAATATTTGGATTAATTTTCTTTCATCTGTTGTCCATGGACCCTCCCTTCTGTCTGGCCCCCCTCCATGAGTAAACTTCTCGTCCTGGCTGAGCCCTCTGAACAATCCAGTATGACCTGAAAGTGACATTACTGGCGGTATACATATTCAGGGATCGATCTTCTGTGGATGTAGGGCTTCCACTCTCCCTCTCTCTCTGACCATCTCTGCTCATGGTTTGATTTTATTTCTGTTATGTCTGTATGTATATTGTAATTGTTAAGTGTCACTAAAGGTGCAGTAAGTGATTTGTTAGCTTAGCCGTAGCACCAACTCGAAACCACTCCCTCCTCCCCTCGCCTCTCCACCACACCAAACATTCAACAACAAAAAATCTTTGTCACAACAGGGAGAGTATAACTTCCATTACTATTTGAAAACACATGAAAACTTGACTACTTTTAGGGTTTAGGGACGTTTTCCCACAATGTTTTAAAAAAATACGTCTTTTTTAT